AAGGCGAGCTACAGCAGTGATTATGTGTGTCTGCTGTGCTTGATATGTCTAACTGAGCCGTTCTTATAACCAGCAGGTTTACAGAGTAATTTTGCATTTTTCTTCTTTGTTTCCATGCCCTGAGGATATGATGCAGTTTGGCTCATTTAACTACAGTATGAGAGGCTTTCTCTGAATGTGAAATATCTCTTGCCAAAGAAACAGAATACAATAAAACTAAAATGGAATAAAACAAACAATAAACAGTTAGACTTTAAAATGTGGGCAACCTTAAAGGTTTTTAGTGAATAAATACAGTTTTATGTTGTGAATGTTTGTTTGAAAAGGAAGACTGCATAAGTAATATTTCCTTTGCTCTGTCTTTTGTGTACAAACATAACAAGCTTGCTGTTTTTTTGTTTTGACACTTTTCATGCATTTTTTAATTATAAAAGCCTTTCAGAACAGAAGAGGTGGTGCTGAAAAAGAATGTGGAGATTTGAAATACTCAGTAGGAATGCTTTAAAATTCAGATCTTTTTCAAATGCAATAATCTATTCTATAGGATTTTAGAAAGCCTTTGCTTGCTTATATCATACTAAGGTTTTTTCTTTTTCTTTTCTTTTTTTTTTTGTTTGTTCTGGTAGAGTTCAGCATTTAAGCAGAAAGCAATAAACTGGATTTTATACACTGCCACGTAAAGCATATTTTTGGAGTTGAAATGTGGTTTTCATTAGATTTCAGGCCAAAACATTTAGCAGAGCCTGACTGTCTGCCTGCCTTTGTTCTTCTTACAGCTGCCAACTACTATTTTATTAAACCACATACAAAAATTATCATTAATGGGTCATTTAAACTTACATAAAAGTAAAGAGATTCAGAGTTAAGTCTGAAGCTATCTAGACACCAAAAGGTATGCAGAAGTTGTAGAGTTCCACATTGCCTATGTACTGTCACCCACTTTTTTTGAGGCTGCTATTGTGCCTAAGCTCATGGTTTAGATCCAGAATGGAGTTTCCTGTCACTTTAAGGACTACTGCATACCTTAAAATAACTTAGTAGATTTTTTTTTCAGTTGCAGTCATTTAGTTTTCAACCCTCATTAAAATATCATTTTAAAATTACCTGTTAATTTGTTGTGGGATTAGAGAATAACTTAAAATACACAAAGATCCATTCAAAATTAGATCACTTTTGTGTAGTCTAGATTTGGCATCACAACAGCATAAGTAAGGATCTGTTAGTTTGCACTGTGTTAATCTTAATTTGAATTCACATCCTCAACAGTAACCAATTTGTATGTTATGTATCTTAGTATTTCAGAATGTGTTTAATCATATGGGGCATGCTAATATGCATTCTGGTAATGTTATGTGCTTTGCATATGCATATGTTCATTATGGATCAAAATGTAGAGGTTATTCAGACTAAATTTTAAAACTAAAAAACCTGCAGTTATAATGGCATGTACAGTAGCTGCTTTTAAAATCAGAACATCTCATTATGTTGTTCGTGTTTGTCATCCTCATCATAGTTATAAATTTATGGCCTACAGCAGTATGTGTATATGTATATACATATCCACACATATAATTTCTTTATCTTAGAGCAGACAACTCTTTTTTAATTACAAATAAATTCAATGAAACAATAATACCTGGGCTAATCCTGCGTGCCAAGTTTCCACTTCTCCCAAATACAGGAGTTATTTATATGTCGCTCTTTTACTATTTCCTTAATTTCTTCTGGTGCCATTTTAATAAGAGACTCTAAACTTCAGTTTGGCAACTCTATTGACTAGTAGGAGAGTCTCAACAGTGTTAAGATGCTGGAATTTGCATTGTATGTATGCCATTTTATAGCAGTACTGAAGTGAAATATTTGAAGTTGCTGGTAAGAAATCATATAAAAGCTCAGTACTCTTAATTAAATATTAGCTGTAATTAGCACAAAGTGTGAATGGTACAGATATTAATTAGGGTCTCATGGAACGGCTGTCAGTGTTAATGAGAAACAGTGGGGGTCTTAGCAACATCTGTTTTAGAACTCAAGGTAGTATAAAATCTAGATCAAGTGCACCTGGACATTAGCAGTCGGTCCCTTTGTTGCCATTATTGTTCTTTTTTTAACATCTGCTGACTGTAATGTCATGTCTAACAACCGACATGAAGGAATAACTTATGGACCAGGGAAAAACAGCTACTGAGCTTCAAAGCAATACAATCAAAGTAGTGTAGTAAGTAGGGTTTGGTTTTTTTCTGTATCTTCCATGTTCCTTGGATCCTATCACTAAAGTTTGTCCTAAAGAATTGAATGTTTACAGTTTCAACGCAGAACTTCGAACAAATTAAAATTTTCACATTAGTTGCTATTACCTGTGAAGATACATTGAAGGAACCTAGTCATTGCTCAGTTTTAGTGGACATACTATCTTTATTGTGTATTTTCTCTACATAGAATTAATATTTTTCTTAAGGAGTATTGTTTAAAGAAATAAAAACGGACTTTCCATTTTTAGAAAAAAAAAGAGTATTCCTCTACCAAATCAAATGTACAAAGTATTTTTCTTGATTTTTTTTAAATTGAAACTTTTAAGTTTTAGTGTAAAATACTTTTTATCCTGCTTGTACTGTATTTGTAATACTAACAGTACAATTATTTTATACTTTCAAAGCACTGTACACTCATGGAGAAATCTCACAACTCAGTGCAGTGTAGAATATAAATGTTTTCATTTTAAAGATGATATATGTACAATGTATAAATGACTTGCTTAAGGACACACACTAAATTAGTAGCAGGGATGGGAGTCACATTCAAAATTTTGACTCCTAGCCTTATGCTTAAATCACTAGAATATATTGCCATTTAGTTAGGAAAACATCTTTTCCGCCCTCTCCTGTAATGTATAACCGAGAGCCAATGTAAAATATTGGATAGTGAGACCTCAAAGGTTCTGAGTTCAGGTTCTGTTCAAATAATTTCGCACATGTTTAGATGCTCATTTCAAGTAGCTGAAATTGCTTGGTTGGAAATCTTTTTGGGTGTGAAATTCAACAGTATGACCTCAGTATTGGCCCTGGCCTTTGCTGAAGCCACCAGATGCAAGGATCAGTGAAAAGAAAAGAAAACAAAGTTGGTGCATGTGCATGAGGGTTTTTGGAGGGAGCATAGCTGAATAATTTTCCCTCTCCTACTTTTGCCCAGTCAGGGGGGAGTGAGGATGATCTTGATCAGGTAGCAGGGTATGTGACAGTGTCAGATGGGGCACAGCTGAAGATGGGCAAGTCAAGTGCTGGCCTCTCCTTTCCTGAGGTCCCTTCATCTTCTCATTGGCTTGGCCCCGGGGGACGGCGGAGAGAATAGGGTTACACAGTTGGCTTGCCCTTTCTCTCTCCACTGCCTATTTATACTCTCCTGGGGTTTTCAAATGACTCTTGCACCTGTTAGCTGTCCTCAGTACCTACTCTTAATTGTAGCATAGGAGCTGTGTTTTTTAGGATGCTGCGAGCCATACCTATCACTGTTTTTACCATCAGGAAGTAATATTTTCCCTTGTGCCTCATTGGTAGAATTTCTGATATTTTGTCCAGTTCTAGAAAAAAAAATGAATAGTCAATTAGCCAGAAAATTTGTTTTTGATGCACCATAACTTTCACAAATTCAAGAAATAGGTTTATCAACCCCCCAAAAATAAAAAAAAGCAGTTTTTCAAATAAATTGTTTAGATTTTTTATTTTGAGATGATGTTTTGTTTAGAAATTGAGCTCAGTTAGCCAAAACAATTCTTTGGGTTTGTTTATTTTCTTATTTATTTGTTTTTTGTTTAGTCCCTGAAATTGAGCTGAGGCTTTGGAATATGTGTAGCCATCCCCAGTTTCTTTCAGTGATGATACTGTATCTGTACTGATGTCTCCTGACACTATTCTCTGTAGCATCATGATTTAGGCCTCGCTTAAATACATTCACAAGCATGTTTTGTAAGAAGATATTTTTTTCATGTCATCATGTATTCAGTTTGGTCAGCCATTCAGCCAGAGACTGTTGTGGACAGTTACATCAAATATCTTTGATGTGTTGGCATCTGCTTGCAACAATATAATTATATCAAAGCTAAAGTTGGAGCTAATTGTCCATACATGATATAGATACTGCCATTTGGCCTTTTAAATTTAAAGTTTTATTTGTAATATGTACATGTAAAATGATTACCATCAAAATAAAGACATTTTAAGCTCTTACACCTATTTTTTACACATTACAGTGTAAACATTTTTTAATGTTTTTCTCAAATTGATTTTGAACTGATGCATTTCTTTCCACATATTTTTTATTTTGAGATTCTAAGCTTGAATCTAATCATTACATCGCATTTGTGCTTTGCAGCTGTAAGGATGAACTTTTGCTTATTAGATTACACATTAAAACAGAGAGAGCTGCATTTTGTACAAATATTTTTAAACTGGGAGGACAGTGGAACATCTTGAGAGAGCAGCATTCTGTACAAATATTTTTAAACTGGGAGGACAGTGGATCATCTATTTTCACACTCTGATTTAGATTTGAGGTTGACTGCATTTTTTCAGGAAACTAGAAAAGCATGAGGAAGAATGAAGTATGTGATAAATATACTGGGCCTCTTTCAATACCATCAGTGTTTTGTAACTTTTGGAATAGGTGGAACTGTTTACAATAACTTTGCCTTCATAACGATGCTGGTTTTAGTAAAAACATATTAGCTACATTTAATGTTTTAACTAAAGTAGTTGTTCCTTTAACTGTGTATACACCAGGGGGTTCAGTTCATGTAATTTTACCTGGTGTTCATAATCACATAAAAGAAAAACCCACATACAAAAACCAGTTTGTAATAGGGAGTGGCAGAGGAGGGAATTAAATAAGATAGGATGTGCTCTCCAGGGGAAACAAATAGCCATTTAGAAATCTTGGAGAATATCCTTTCCATTTTCTAAATTATTTTCTCTGACTCTACCCTTTTTTCTCTCTCTTTTAATTTACAGGGTAATCAGGAAGCTACAGCACCTCCTGACACTATGGCGCAGCCTTATGCCTCAGCCCAGTTCGCTCCACCTCAGAATGGGATCCCGGCAGAATACACAGCCCCACACCCTCATCCAGCTCCAGACTACACAGGCCAGACCACAGTTCCAGAGCACACGTTAAACATGTACCCTCCTGCTCAGACACACACCGAACAGAGTGCAGCTGACACAAATGCACAAACTGTCTCCGGCACAGCCACAGTAAGTTCCAGTTTCACTTATTTTTGAAGGTGAATATCTCATGGTACAAAAATGTGCATTGACAAATCTCTTTTTTTTTTATGTTGCAGCAAATGGTTTTATCTTGAATGTTCTTGATGATTATTCAACAATATAGCATCCAAAATAGGTTCAGTCTTTTTTCTTTGAACTTAGAGGATGCTATTCTTCCACTTGTGATCCCTCTCATCAAGCCAGAGGGCTGAGCATATCTGCTGGCATTTGTTTTCTTTTTGAATATTGAAACATGGAAAGTTATATACAAAACACATATTTAAATTATGTTAAAAGATTTAACCCATTTAGAGCTGAGCAAAATGTATTGGTAATTATTAATATGAAGGAAAACAGTAAATAGTTTAGTAAACAGTTTAACTATTATTCAGCATGATTCCTTCCTATTAACTTTTCACAAGAATATATTTGAGTGAAACTATTCTCAAGAATGTTTAGAGAAAGGAGAGCGTTGCAAATACTTGTGCAAATATATCTTTTTCATGCAAATACTAATGATTATTTGCAACATTATGAACATCTGCAACAGAAGTGTTTATGCAGCCATCTTGAAAGCTCTCTGTGGGTTTGGAAATCATCAAGCAACAGAACAGAAATAACACCATGTGACTTTGCTACCATAGTGAATGCAAACAACAACTTACAAATTGTGACTATTCCAAATAATAATATTCAAATAAATGATGGACTTAAATGCTAACATAAAACATTAATAGAACAATTTTTAATTGTGAATAGTTTCATAAAAAGGTTGTGGAAACCTGGATGATTAAAAAGGAATCCCTAATTCAAATTTTTCTGCTTTTCTTGAAATTAACTTAAAAAACCCCAATGTGTAAGTTCTAAAAACTAGTAGATCTAAGTATAGGAATGAACAATATCTGATGTTGGGCTCACACTGTCCAAAAATCAGGCATTTAAAAGTGTCCCTAGTTGAACAACTAAAAATCAAAACTGTCTAAATCACAATTCATTTTTTTAAAATATTGGCTGAAATTCAAACATTATAGCATCGACTTACTAAGGTCCAGGTTTGAGGGCTCTCCCTGGCATCTGACAAAGAAAGCTTGAATTTTTTGCCCCATTTTTGTGTGTGTGAAGAGTGCAGTTCCTTTAACTAACTCAAAACATTTTATCCTTCCATAATAGCTGAAGCTGCTACACTTCCCTGGAGTGGAAGATGGAAAAAAATGTCTTATTGAGAAATTGAAACCAATGCTTCTCTGCATCATCCAACAGAGATTCTCTAAAAGTGTGCCACTGATATTCTTCCTGTGTGCCTTCATGCATTACATAGTGACCAATCAATGGGTTGTTCTGAGAGTATTTAAGCAGAATGCCACGTTACTTCTATCATAATATAAAATTTAAGTGAGAATGAAAAATAATACAATTTGGAATGAGAATGCACAGGGTGTATTACACGCTACAAACTATATCCAGGAACAGAGGACTTACTGTAACACAGCAGACTGGTGGTCTACCTAGTTCACTGCTGTGTTCTTTCTGACATTCACCAATATCACATGCTTCCCAGAAAGATATAAGAAACATTGTCATTGACAATTGTGAAAACCTGTTCATATGAGAACTTTCTTTTCAACCCTCTCAGTAGGAAGCCATGTTGTATTAATATTTTTGTAATATATTTCAAATTATTAGGAGCTATGTCTTTTCCAAACAAAAAAGGTTGTTCTGTTTATTAAAACTGTGGATGTTCTCATTAATGTCTAGTTCCTTTATGAATCATACTAAACCTCAGGACTCAAAGGTGTTGTGATACTTACTTCTGGTTTTAGAGTTCATATAAAGTTTCCTGTTACACTTTAAGTTGAATGGCTTTTAATTTCCTTAAATGTTTTCTTACCCTAAAATCAGGGGAAAAGTTTAATTTATTTATATACCTCTGTAATGTGACCTTTTATTCACTTCTTCACTAAGCTGTTTATATAATAATATATGGTCTCTGTTATTTTGATCCCCTTCATTAAATAGCATAGGATTTTGTTTGTAGTTTTGATCACTACTACATGTAGGGCTGATCACAGTGACACCCAGCTCTGTTCCTTCACATTTATTTCCTTGGAACTCTTGGTTTCATACCATTCAGTGCTAGGGGGGAATCCTGGCTATAATGAAGTCTCTGGCAAAAGGCCTATTGACTTCATCGGGGCCAGGAGTTTGCCCCTGGAGAACTGTTTCTTTTTAAGCGTGTTTGACTGCCTCATGTAGTGTCACTTCAGTCTGACAATCTCATTTTTAGTATGAAAGGGTACGTCTACATTGCATTCCTCTTTCAAGAGAGGAATGCAAATGCAGACGAACGAAATTGCAAATGAAGCGCGGATTTGAATTTTCTGTGCCTCATTTGCATAATCACGTCGGGGCGCTATTTCAAAATACCCTATTTCGAAAAAAGAAACGCAGTCTAGACACGGTTATTTCAAAAGAAAACCCTTCTTTCGAAATAACCCTTACTTATAAAATGTTTAAGAGAACAAAACTAGAGTAGGTATTTTCTTAACATCTTCTGTGATAGTGTGATGAAAAGAAATCATTTAGTTTGAGATTTTCTTCCTCAATTACCCTTGAATCCTTGGTGCTCCAGCAGATGCAGTTATTCCTTTGCAAGTTTCCTCCTTGTGAAACCATAATAGAATTTTTTAAAATGCCTTTTTGCGTCTTTGGCTATTTGTTTCTCTGTTCTTCTTAACCCTTCTGATTCCCTACTTCACTTTATTGAGGGTCAGTATTTTAACTTCTTTGCTTTTGACTTAGTCTTTTTGAAGAGCTAACTCATCTTTTCTGAAATACATTACCTTTCAGATAGGTAACAGTCAACGTTGCTGGTGCGATATCTCTCTGGAAAAAGGTGAACTAAAGTACATTGTAGTTACTGTTTCTTTTTCACTATGTCACATCTGGCCATTTAATACTTAATACACATGCTATTTAATATGAATTGTTTTGTTGTACTTACATAGGATCTTAGGAATTAGATATGGAAAGATTTATTTGGAATTCTACCTCCCCCCATCCAACTTGGTTTGTTACCAACAATATCATTTTAGTGTAATCCAGATTTCATTTAGAAACCTGTAAAAACAATAACATCCAAAAATTTGGAGAGTCAAAGCTGTGATCTATTGACACAATGTGACTTTTTATACTTGATATATTAGAAATAGAGATTTGCAAGAAGTGAATTCTCCAAGGCTCTCCACTCGCCAAGATAGCCTCAGTATTGAACTGCTAAAAATCTTTCCTTACATTTCCAGTCAGGTCTTTTCTCCAAGCTTATGTGTATGAGCTTCTAAAAACTATTACGGTCTACCTTATAAATTGTTAGCATTTTATGGCTTTCCATCATACTTATTAAAACAGTATAAATCTCATGCAAAAAGATGCCTGGAGGTGGAATGTTGCACCCAAAAAGAACCCCCGTGATTTCAGTAGGGTTTCTGATGGCTTTAAGATCCACCTATATACATCATTTTTAGATTGATGTCTAATAGGTCACGGTTGTTTTCTGTAATCAGAAAATGTAATGTTACCAATTAATACTACTTTGCCAAAATTTTATCTGAAAGTGATCTTCACATAGGAAGGAAAAGGTAACTTGACTACAAGCCAAATCTTGGAGCCGTGAATTTCTGGACTTTCTAGCTTTCAGGAGTAATCTGGGAACCACTGGAGTTTTTGTCAGCTTTCACGTATGTGTAGGTATCTCGCCAATGTTCAGTTGCGTAATGTGCAATGTGTAAAATGAGACATTTAAAAATTACTAGATTGTCTAGTCACAAAGATGTTTACACCATTCATATTTGATGTAAGACAGGGCAATTTCTTTTGAGTCATTTTATCAGGAAATTGGGTGACATCCTTGGCTCCATTGAAGTCAGTGGCAACATTCCCATTGACTTCAGTGGAGCCAGGATGTCACCCATCAGTTTTACTCCAGATTGGAAATTTTCATACGTGATACTAAGCACTAGTGCAGCAGTAAGTTTGAAGGATTGGTCCATTACTGAGTAAAGTCTAGGGGCTGTGTTTGCTGTTGCCCTGTTCCCTGCACAGTCATTTACACTGGTTGCAAAGTGAGTATAAATTGCTATCAAGCCAGAATGGTAGCGGTTTAAATTTGCTTTGAATTGGTGTAAGTGACTACATCAGTGAAGCCTGCCTTAGGAGAAATGGAACATTTCCTGTATCTTTTAGATTCAGACAGATGCTACGCTCAAGGTGAATGAGTTTTTTTTTCTTTTATAAAAATACAGTTTTCTTTTGCCATAAGTTTTACATTAATGGATCCTTTCCTCCTCTCCTTTTTCTCTTGTATTTTATAGTGTTTAAATATTATACCCCACCTCCTCATATTTTTGACTTCTTGGATTTTCATTCACTGAACCCAGATAGTGATGCACTGTTGATTTTCCTTCACTGGCTGATTCCTAAACTAGTCTTGACAGCTTTTGAAAGCGTTATTTCAAAATAACGTAGTCTGCATCTGCACAGCAGGCATATATTTCGAAATAATGTCAAAATACAATCAAGCTGGAGGATTTCTTACTCTAACTCCTGTAACCCTCATTGTATGAGGAGTAAGGGAAGTTGGAGGAAGAGTGCTCTGTTTTGAAATAAGTGCTGTGTAGTTGCTCCCAATTTTGAAATAAGCTATTTCAAAATAAGCTACGCAATTGACGTAGCTCCATTTGCATATCTTATTTCGAGTTAAGCCCTGCTGTGTAGACTCACCCAAACTGTCCTTGTTGATGAGTTGATCAGAGCTACCTTGACAGACAGGGATGCTGTTTTCCTTACACATGGTTATAATTTTATATATTTTTTCAGGTTGCCAGTAAGATTTAACACAATGGGAATCCCTCTTGGATTCTCAGCTCAGATTCCCTGATAGCAAAGAAATAATAATTTCCTGAGAAAAATTCAGCACATTTTTCAGAGGTAAG